ACTTGTTCCTTTGCGGATTCAGCTTGCTGACACAGCTCCCTACTCGAACGACATCATTTACAGCATCGCACTGAAGTCAGTAATTGTCAATGATCAACAATTCAAAAGTGAAAGGTTATCTGCAGGTCAGGTCATGTCTGCAGCGCAGATCCCCGTGTCTGTCAGTTCCAGACAGTTTACTTTCGACTGAAAGCTGCTGGCTGCTCCTGGGCTGCCTGTGCCGCAGGCTTCAGGGGCCCCAGGTAACCCAGGCTGAAAGCCCTTGCCCTTCCTCCTTACACTTCCTTCATCACATTCCAAAAGACGTGCCCTCGCTGGCTAAGCCGAGCTCGTTTCACAACGCTCTGCGGTACAGCCCCTCTCCCAGCCCACCGACAGAAGGCCTGACTCTCTCTGCCTCTCCAGCGCCTGGGAGCTTTTTGGATGTTGCATGCTGCGGCTTTGTTGACTCTGCACTGCTATCGCGAGCTGGGCAAAGCACGGTCCCACCACACCATCCAGAATCAGTTAACTGCTTGAGGGAGGCGGGGTGAGAGTTTTGTGGAGCCGGATGTGGAAAGTATGATCCACAGATGTCTGCTTCGTAAGAACAGAGGCAAGAAAGCCCCTCAATGAGTTTGTTTGTTCATGCATAATAAAATTTCAATTACTGACACCTACCATCCAACTCTTTTTTCCTTTTCCCTGAGAATTCCCATAAAAATCTCCAGCTGGTGTTCCTGTGTCTGTTCAATTAGGAACCATGTGGGTTCCTGTCCATGCTCTATCAATCTGTGATACTCCTGTACAGATATGCCCTTTTGCTATAGAGCACTGGCGAATTTTTCTCTATAAAGTGACCCTGAGTGCCCGGTTCTTTGTTTGAATTACACAGGAACTGCAATCTGATACACATGAGACCGGTTTAATGGTGGATACAGATGAATGACATCATTTGTAATCATGATCACAAATACCAATTGCTTGACTGTGAAGCCAAAATAACAGTTTTGACTTTGCTATCTCTATTGTGATAGCATTGTGATGCAGCACTGCACATAGGCCCTCAGTCTAAGTTAATTAACCATTCCTGCTAAAAGTTTGACCAAACATGGTCATTTCTGAATCTCTCCTTTAAACATTAAAATTGTGAAAAGGCTGTTTTGTTCAAATAAATTCATAGCCTCTTCTATTCTTATGTGTTGTTCTACATAAAGTATTCCAATGACGTAAGAAGAGAACGGATTGTTGTTAACTTTCCAGCGAGGCTGACTGTTTCTTTTAGACCTACGTAAGATCCCCTTTAATAAGCATAGATTTTTAAAAATACCACTTTGGTTTCATCCACACAAACAAGATGAATCATGCTGGTCAAGATGTTTGCTCTCAGCCTATGTTCCTCCACGTAGAATGTGATCATTTTATCTCACCGGTTGGACAAGCTCTGTGTGCTTCGCTGATTAGTAACATAATTGCACTTAGTTTAGGTCCGTCATTCAGATAATGATAAGGAGAATGAGGTTAAAAAGACTGCAGAGAAGCCTTGCACTGGACAAAGGTGGGTAATGTCTTGCTGGACAAGTGGAGCCTTCTCTTTTCAGAGGCAGACATTCAATAAGGAAGCCATACTGTGGGTTGGATAAAATGTAATTAAATGTGATTACTGAAGCAGCATTTTTTTTTTGAACAGCACACACAATCTAGTCATGCCATGTCCTCCAGAGCCCTCCCCCTGGCCCATTCTCACTGCCTGGCCTGCTCTATTGGCCTTGAGTGAGGGGCTGCTGATGGGAATTTTGTGCATGCCTGCGTTCACAAAGTCCCTTTCAGCTCCCACATGCTTGACCCTTCCCGGTTCACAGTGCTGTTTTGTTCCCTGCTGACCCCTGCACTGACCAAGGGTCGCCTGCAGTTCAAAAGGTCGCCCTGCGCCTGAGTGCAATTTCACCCCAGCCGGAATATCCCTGCTTGTGACGGTTCTTTTCTTCCCGACCGGCTCTGCCCTTTGCTTCCCTCCCCAGTCCCCCGAGCCTCCCCTCCCCCCCATCCTCCCCTAGCTCCTGGATGAACCGCAGGGCCCCTCAGGCTAGAGGACGTCCTCGCCCTCCCTGCAGTGCCTCTCAGAGAGCTCCTGCACTGGCTGGGGCCTGCCCTGTCACAGCCCCTGCTTCCTCCCTGACGTCAACACGCCAGAGCCGCCATGCCACTCTCACAGCACCACCTCCCCTCCTTTCAGCTGTTTCCAGTGAGGTTCCTTCCCTGCCGGAACAGTATCGCCACACCGCTGGAGAGCTCTGTCTCAGATGTCACCAAATTCAGCAAGAACCGGCCCGGAAACACGTTCTGCTTCAGGCACCCTGGACAGCAGCGTCCCCCTGTTACAGCCTGTGCTGCCTGTATAATAACTGTCCGTGTCCAGCTTGGAGACACTGCCTCGCACGTCTTGGCTCGTTTCAAAGAAGACACACACTGGAAGACTGGAAACGCTGGACTGATCCTCGCCTTTCCTTCTTCCAGACTGTCATTCACTGTCTGTGCCTGTTGCTTTGGCTCATCAAGCACCAGTGGTGAAGGCTGAGGCAGGCATCGGACGTTTCCGCTCCTGTCTTCATTCAGGATATGCGACATGAAGAAGACTTAACACTTGACCCAAAGCGATAGCTTCCACCTGTAGTTCACCCTCCTGCATGCTCTTCTTACAAACAGCCATTTTTGTATAGGTGTGTGACCTGCATGTCCACTTATTTATATGAACTGTACACGTGTTGCATCACTTGGACAAGTAAAAAGTGGAAAAACGCGATATTTTGTTTGTGGAGATTTCTTCAGGTGTGTGTGGGGAATGAGCGGGGATCTGGACAAAGGGGTGAATAAGGAGGACATAAGAAAGAGAATGTGAGAATGGGAATGGGAGGTGAGGAAGGCGGTCCAAAGAGCTGGAAATCTGGGAGATGAATTCCAGGGGAAGTGTGAGAGTTGAATGCTGTAAACGAATGGAGAGATTAAACAGAATTTAGTCAGTCATTGAAGGCTGGGGGAGTGTGCGGATATAATTTAAGGGTAATCTGGGTTTCTGATGTCTTTCTGGAATAAGAGTCCTTGAATCTCAGTGAGAGGGAGGACGTGAGTGTAATAATAGACAGAAGAGACAGATCCTTGATCGCCATTGCTCTGACATCCACTGAAAGACTTCTTCTTGTGTGAATGTCAGGGCAGGTTCTGCAGGAGAAGCAAGGAACGAGCCAGGTGGAGAAAAACAGTGGGTGTTCTCTGGGTGATCTTGAGCTGGCCAGCGGAGCCGTGTATCTGCGTGTTTGCTGGGGAAAGCTCAGCTGCAGCAGTAAGGGTCTGGTGTGGGGGGAGGCTGTGTTAAAGAAACTGTGCACAAGGCAGGGGTTAGGTGGTTGTCAGTATGAAATGACTCGTGAGTCTGGAAGACAAGTCCTTGTTAACGAGTCACAGGAACTAGAGAGGTTTAGTGTCATGACCGTGGGAATGTGCTGTCTGTGTGGAGTTTGTGGGTTCTACCTGAGTTAGTGTGGGGTTTTGCTGCTTATCAGACTATCAGACCCATAGTCCAAACACATGCTGGAAGGTTAAGTGAGTGGCCCTGGTGTGATGATGTGTGACTGTTTCTGTGTGTGCCCAGGGATGGACAGGCGTCCAGTCCAGCGTGTGTCCTGCCTCGTGTCTGTTGCTTGCTGGGATAGGCTCTGGCTCCCCAGCGACCCTGTGCTGGATAAAGCGGTCAGAGAAGGGAAGGACAGAAGGAATGTGGTTCTTGGTGAGGTAATTTCTCAAGGGGTTATTGTGCTGAGGGCTGCCTTTGACTCAAGTAAGAGCCTTGGCAATGCAGTGTGAATGATACCCCCTGCCAATGACATACAAATATATAGCATTCCATCACACACTTTAAACACATACTTTAAAAGTGAAAGACTTCCGCTTCCAATCCAGTTACCAAGAGTCTGGGACCACAAGCCCCAAGACTCATTAAAAACCGAGTAATTGCTCTGATCTCTCTTGTAAAAGCCTATGTACACATTAATTCCTATTAAATTAATCGGGGATGTTAAATTGAATGACTCACAGCTCCCTTTTGTGGCCCCTGTTACATTTTTGTCTTTTTGCACCCACGATAGTAACACGCATGGAGTTTGGATCTGCTGGTAGGATTGCCTTCCCATTTTTCGTACTGGTTTCTTTTTTTATATCCCCCTGGAGATCCTCTACCGGAGGAGAACACGTGGCCAAAGTCCTGCACCAGATCCAGAAGGTGATCCTGAAAAGAGGTGGATGAAAGGTTGTCGTTCTGTCCCTGGTGACGCGTATCCCATGCTGGGGAGGTACTACACAGCTCGCACTTGAACACTGCAGCTGTCCCGTGCGCACACTGTACATACGAAGCAATACGGCTCACACACAGCACGGTGGCACAGTGGCTAGCACTGCTGCCTTGTGGTACTGGGGGCTTTGCTTCAATTCCTGGGGTGCTGTCTATGTGGAGTTTGTATGTTCATGTTCACATGGGCTTCCTCTAGGTGCTCTGGTTCCTCCCACAATCCAAAGACATACTGGTTGGTAATCTGGCTTCTGGGAAACTGGCCCTGGTGTGAGTGTGTGCCCTGGGGGGGGGGGCTGGCATCCTGTCCAGAGCGCCTTGTACCTTGTGCCCGTTGCTGGCTGGGATAGACTCCTGCTCCCCCATGACTCTGAGGTGGAGAATGCGGTTAGAAAATGGGATGGATGGATTACAAAATCTCTGCTGGGGACACGATTCACTTTTCGAAATGTATTTTCCAGCTTTCATTCTTGTCTGTTCCAGGCTGGAATGAATCTACTAGTGCCCAGCAGGACTGGCCAAAGTAGCCCAAACAGCAGTGGTGGCACCATTTTTTTTTTAAATCTGGCCGGAGTTCAGGCATGTTGCGCAGGCGTGAGGGGATCCGGACTCCTCCGCGCCGCTAGGAGCAGCAGAGAGCGCTCCTGCTTGGCGACTCTATGGCCCTTTATTGGGCCCTCTCTTGGTCCACGAAGCGTTTCGTTGTTTGCCAGGTACTTCCTGGTAACGCAGGCAGGAAATAAAGAAATAGAAAATTCGGAATCGAAACAGTCTGTAATAAACAGGAGGGGGGAAATACAGAAATTATATTTATCTTGCAACTTGATTCTTCCTGGTCGGTGTTGCAACGCTTCGATAGGAGGCTTTTAGCCACTTTTAGACCCGCACCGATGGTGACATAGGCTGGAGTTTGTACTGCGTTTCGAGACGTTTTCCGTTTAAAGAAAAAGAGCTGAATATGTTTGTTATTAAAGGAAAAGTTGTTAAAACGAGCCCGGGATCGATGTTTCCGCGGGGAGTGTTTTTTAGTTTAGGCCAAGGACGTAAACTTCACTGAAATCGTTCTGGGGGGGAGACAACAATTTTCCCCACAACGCCACGTCACAAACTACAGTGAAACAGACGGAAAACAAGCTCCGGACATTTCGGCAGGTTTTGAATTGCAGGTGGTTGTGGACACATCTTTAAATTTAATTAAGCGACATCACATTTTAATATATTGAAAAAACAACCATGGCGGCTTCCAATTGCGGTCTGATAATGAACGTTGTAAACAGCATCGTGGGAGTCAGTGTGCTGACGATGCCTTTTTGCTTCAAGCAGGTAAGTACATTTAAAATGACCTGTTCGACGCTGTATAACTGAGTGTTGTGCTTCACAGAGATTCATGTCTAAGGAAAGCAGAGCTTGTAGCGGATGGAAGCGATTTGCATGGCTGGTATTTTGAGCACAAAGTTATAGGGAAATTCAGGCAAATTCAAGTGAAAGTTTGAAATCTCTCCATGTTCGCAGGTGTTATGCGTGTTCAGTGTTGGCTGAACTTTCACTGCCGTAGAAATAGTTTTTTTTTTTCAACAGAACATGAAATAGAAAGTCATTGTTTTGAAAGGACAGAAGTTAAAGGAAAACTTAAAGGACTTAACTTAAAGTATGCTTGCTCCGGGTTGTCCACAATGTGAGGGAATCTGGACTTTTAAAAAGTTTGTCTCTGTAACTGGTTGTATTATGTATGGCCCTGCCTTAAAGGAAATTAGTCATCCCTGTGAAATGGAGAGGACAGAAATGTCAGCTTTGAGCTTTGGGTGAGATTCTGTGGGGGGGGCATTGCTGATCCTCTCTGTTTCTGTTGGTCTTGCTGCAGTGTGGGATTATTTTAGGAACCTTGCTCCTGTTCTTCTGCTCCTGGATGACCCACCAGTCCTGCATGTTCCTGGTTCACTCTGCCAGCAGCACCAAGCGCCGGACCTACGCCGGGCTGGGTAAGGGCCAACAGGCTCGCCCATCGCTGCCCCCACTCTTCACTGTCTCGTTCTCGGACACACGCGGGTCTCTTTAATGTAAATCTAGAACGGGTTGATTCGGAAACAAGCTCACCCAGCTCAACGAATGACCACCTACCAGTCAGCTTTACCAGTTGATTTGGTTCATTCTTTCTAATAAATATCGAGTGGTTAAATGGTTCTGTAAATAACCGATTACAAAAGATAAAATAGAAAAGAAGCCTGATGGCTCTTAGGGAAAATAAAAACATTTTTTTAGCTCAGCTGCACCCCCTGAAACAGCTTTTCCTCTGCTGATACTTCATATTTGGCTACCAAGATCACACCATTTTTACATGTAATGAGATAAGCAGCATAATTAAGCATAATAGAAGTCCGAATTGTTGAAGTTGTGCATAATCTTTACCATATTTCAATTTCATATTTTTGCAGCTTTCCATGCATATGGAAAAGCAGGAAAAGCCTTAGTGGAAACAAGGTGAGGATTTTCCTTCGCATCAGTGGTCCTTTCACATTGTGTTTGAAACTAGAACTCTTGTAGGTTTTAATTAGTCAAGGTTAATGTTATTAAGTTAAACTAACCTAACTATTGTATGGAAAACTAATTGTTTTGTCTTTGTCGAGCAGTATGATTGGACTCATGTTGGGGACCTGCATAGCCTTCTATGTCGTCATTGCGGATTTGGGGTCCAATTTCTTTGCCCAGTTGCTGGGTCTCCAGGTGGGTGCTGTTTTATAGAAGTGCACAGCTAGTCTATTTTCGTAAATGTCTGAAATCAAGGGTTAGAACTTTCTTTCTATATTGAAAGTAATAGTCATTTTTTATTGCTTCCAGGAATAATTCAGTTAGCTTTCATCCTGTTTCCCTGTGTTCAGTGTACATATCTGACTGGGCCAGATTGCTCCAGTAAGGTTCTGACCTTCTGGTTCTCCTATCTGTGTCATTAGTAAACCTTTAAGGATCTGCTTGGGTATTCTTGAATTGGTACACACCAAGAAAACGCAAATGTGCACATTGATTTTAATTGTATTCTAATCTGTGGAGACCATTGATTTTAAGAACATGTCCTTTTCCTGACTGCTTTATGATGGTGCCACCTTGAAAAATGTTGAGACACAACTGTTGTTAAAGTGCATTTTCTTACAAAGCTTGGCTGAACTTGCTTTACCTGTGTTATTACTCTTAAAACAATCACACCCACTTCAGACTGACTGGAATATAGGTGGCAGAACCAGTAGGTTATGAAATGAATGTATTGACTGGGTCATGCAACCATGAATGTTTGAGAAGCACTGAAGTGGATTTGATAATGTCATACCGTGTTTGAATTTTAAAATAAAGAGGAGAGCTGCATGACGTCTTTCTCATGTTTTGTTTATGCACATTAAAGCCTTTGATGAAAAGTTATCAATGCCAGCCGGCAACTACTTTGTGCCTCAACATGCTCTTTTTTTACTTTGGGCCTTTGTTTTGGTTTAATTCAGTTGCATTTTGGACAGCATATAAACAAGTTATATGTATTATTAGGATTATACCTTTAAAGCTTGACTGAGCAGCATGATGAGTAATAATTTGCATTTAATTAACTAATGCTTCATGACAATTTTCCTGTCAGTGCCCAGCGTGTGATCACATTAGACTTCACTGAAAAGGGACCAGAGTTACAGCCTTTTTTAATCCCTCTGCAATTTCTGTTGCTAGATGAGACTAATGTTTAGAGTGGGGGAGGGATCTGTTGTATTGATGCACAGGTCTATACCATTAACTCTAAAGCAAGCAAAAGTCATTCCCTTAAACTTGCATGCCACCTGCTAGCATGTCTCTGAAGTAAATGTCAGTCTGTTGCAAAGAGGTCTACTAAGGTCTTTGAATGTCAACTATCTAACCTGCCCTATGTGTGTCCTGTGGCATAAGGAGAAGACTGTGGGTTGTTGTGGTGTCTACAGCTGACTGGGGTGTAGGGGGTTGGGTGTGGTGTCTGTAGCTGACTGGGGTGTAGGGGGTTGGGTGTGGTGTCTGTAGCTGACTGGGGTGTAGGGGGTTGGGGCTGTGCAGGGTTGGGTCTATAGGTGATGGTGCTGCAAGATGGAGTGGTTGATGGGGTTTAATGGTGCCAATTACGAATCAATTGCTGTGTGTTTCAGGTGACAGGGAGTTTCCGTGTGTTTCTGCTAATCGTCGTCTCCATCTTCATCGTGCTGCCACTGAGCCTTCAGAGGAACATGATGTCCTCCATTCAGTCCTTTTCTGCCATGGCTCTCATATTCTATACCCTTTTCATGTTTGTGGTGAGTATTGCTTTCCTGAAATACACAGCTGGTTCCCAGGCTTTACAGCTCTAGAGTAAAATCGCACTAGTCCACTTATATCCCCCAGACAGCTTTTAGTCTTTAAAGGGGAACTGAAATGTTATTAAACTTATCAGTAAGCATAAGACATCACTGGTGGCCACCAGGACCTTTCCTAGAATAGAATTGCAATGTCATATATTGGGCATGTAAAGTTGTGTACAAAAACTAATCTACCTCAGTACTGCATTTTTCTGTAAACATAATTACAGATTACAATATTGATCTTCTATAACCAACAAGGTTTAATTATTAATAATAGCAGTATTAATAATTTCTTGGATTTGTGTAGCACTTTTATCCCAAAGGATCTTAAATTGTTTTACGTATGGGGTTGGACCCACATCCACCACTGAAGTGACGCACCCTCCTTGATGATGTATTGCAACCATTTTGTGCCTCTAGTCCCACAACACAGCAGTTCAGGTGGAGGAGCGTGAAATTCTTTACCATTTGATCTAAGGGTAAAGTTTAGAAAGGCTAGACTGCAAGCCCAAAGTGCAATTTGGTCAGGACAGAAGGGTTAACGCCCTTATCCCATGGCACTGCACCAGGTAGCTAAATAAGTTGGTTGACTTGGTTTAACTGTAGAATGGTATGTCCTACAGCACAGTGCCCTGTCACTATACTGAATCATTGGTTTGGAAATTCTGACCCAGAGGGATGGGCGACATCTACTGGTGCTCCAGCTGGTTTGATGTCAACCCCACCCCAGTACAGTACCGACCAGGCCCAGCCTTTCTTAACATCTGATGCCTGACAAGTCGGTAATGCTGCTGTCAATAACAGTAACAGTCATAGCTTTAAGACCAGACAATGGCAGCAAAATGAATATTAGCTTACAACAATTGAAAAAGTTTCTCGAAGCTTGTTGTCGTAGACATTTTCTGCTCGGAACATTCAATCCTTGTGGTCACAAAAGAAGTGCTTGATATGTGCACATGGACAAAATAGAAAAGCCTAAGGAAAAAAAGACAAAAATAAAACTCAGGAATACAGTCTGTATAGGGAAGAAAAATAGGGAGGAAATTACTGTATATATATATTTGTTGCATTACAGTCTTCCACATAATGAAAATGATCCGACTTAGTTCATCTGTCTTGTTCATAACTGAGTTGGCAAGCATGTGGGAGAACTATCTCCCACCCACTGACATCATGGGACTTATGGAAGGGTCAGTGGTGGTGCACATGAGCATTAAGAAAGAATTGGTAAAGATACCAAACTGCTTTGGAAAGTAATTTATGGACCGAATTTGAATGCCATATCCACCTGGAAAAATGTTTCAGTTCCCCTTCAAGAGGCTGCTTGTTTAAGCTTTGATTAAATTTAGATGCCTACGCTCTTTGGAAAGTAGTTTTAAGCTCATTTAAAAAAGGCTTATGCCTTAAATTGGATAAAGAAAGCCCATCATTTTAAAAGTTATCGGCTGAATCCTGTTCTCAGGAGTGATAAAAAATTGATCGTTTTAAAAAATTCAGAATTTCCCCTTAACAGTAGGCAGCATTCATCGTCATTCAGTCTTTCTCACGGACTGAATTTTCTTCATGTGAGAGAATGAGAAAATGTGCTCTTAGGCATCACCATCTAAATTGAAAGTACATGAATAGGAACTAAAGGTTAATGTGAAACCACTTTTGAGAATTTACTACTGGTTCTAGATCAGATGTTAATGAGTCTGAATGGGAGAGAAAAAGCAACTCTCTTCGCTAAGTAGCTCAAGCCCATAGTGGATTAAAATGCAGGTCACAGTCCCCACACATTTCCTCTGGACTGGTTCATCCTGGCAGAGTGACAGTGACAGGGACACAGACTGACATTGGAGCAGTAAGCTAGTACAGGTGGCATTGGAGGCCTCTGTCTGTGCATGTTCCCTGGAGGGGAGAGTACAGCTTTCCATTTGCCAAAGATTGATGTCTGAGACCTTGACAGTTCAGGCCAAGCAAGGAGGGGATTTGCTCATGTGTCTCCTCCGCAGTCCTGAAGTGTGTGTGAGAGCATCTCACTAAAAAACTAGTACTGCTAAATTGCAGTATGCAATCCATAAATGTTATAGAACAAATGCATGAGATTTATAGAGATATAGAATTTGCTTTCTTGTGTGCAAAGCCTATGATTAGTTTGCTGCTTGCATTTTGTACCAGCCATGTTTTTTGGCCCCACTCTTCTTAGAAATGTGAACTGCTCTAGTTTATTAATCGCACTGTAATAGTTTATAGTTTGCGGTCACTGGGGCGCAGTGCGTAACAATTGAAGACATTACCGGTCGCAAACTGGAGTAAAGTGGAACATTGCCTGGGCAGCACCATTGCCTGTGTCGAGGGGTCTTTGATCAGCTGTTCCAATTCTGCTAATGACGGAAAGTATCAGTGAGTTGGGTCCCAAGCTTAACTTTACCCTTAGGCACGCTGGCAAGCAGAAGTGGACTTCTGCTACTATGAACATTCATTGGCTCCTGGGCGTGCAGACTTCAGTACCAGTGATAATGGCAATTCTGCTGCTCTCATAGCTGTCCAGAGTAAAATCCTAAAATAGCCATGAGCAGCATTCATACGTAGTTTATGGACATTGAATGGGAAGATTTCAGTTTCAATTCTCTTAGCAAGGATTGGAAAGCTGTTTTTCAGATGGTGGCAGAAAAGCTGAACAACCTGATGCTAAATAGAAGAGAGAGAGGAACAACCAGACCCAGTCTTTCAGACCTTCAAACTGAAATCTGCTCCCGATACCAATTGCCACACATTTAATACTGTGTCACTCTGTTTAAAGTTAGAGAGCAAACAAAACACAGAGTTGAGCAAACGAAAAGCCACCTAAACAAAGCCTAGAAATAAGGAAATATGTCGCCTGTTAACAAAATGGTGGCGACAAGGTGTGGCTAAATCGCTTGTCAGCTGGGCCACGTCACACCTGCGGATCTGACTTCGCCACTAACGCTGTCCATGATGTGTTTCCCCTTTGCTCCCTTCTTACGCTGCTTCTAGATAGTGTTGTCTTCACTGCGTTACGGGATTATCAGTGGGTCATGGGTGGAGAAAGTGCACCTGTGGCGTGTCTCAGGGGTCGTTCAATGCCTGCCAATTATTGCGACTACCTTCTGCTGCCATCCGTAAGTAAATTGCGAACCAAAACAAAATCACATCCTGTTGATTAATCTTCATGGGGGGTGGCTCAGAACATGGCATGGCATTCTCTCTCCTCCGCCCCCCTGCCCCCCACCATTCACCTTCCACCCCATGTTCCTGGAGACTGTACCTGATTTCTGGGCATGTGGAGCTGGGGGTTGGGGGGGAGAGTGGGGTTGTGTGTTTTGGGGAGGTGGTACCTACAGCAAATGCCATGTTAATTGCAAAATTGGTGACTGGATTTTGATTTAAAAAAATGTTTTTTAAATGATCTGACTTTCTCAAAAAAACCAAAAACAATCTCTAATCTAAATTGCATTGCTTCCTGTTTTCTCAGACTTTCTTTAGCCCTCTGAAGGTGTTGCACTCTGACGCTTGTATTTCACTGCCACTTTCAGGCTTCACGCGGAGTGTTGATATGTAGGGGGTCCAAACTGATTTCTTAAGAATCAACAAAAAACATTTTCTGATAAAAATTTCTGTCATAAATTGATCAGTAGATGGAGAAAAATGTGCCCAGTCAGCTAAGAGGTCCTTTCTCTAGATTGAACTATCGTTGCATTGAGAAGAAATTAATTTCAGTGCAACATGCCTTTTAAATTTAAAAAGGGTGAAAATCATTGGTGCGTTAAAGTCATGGGTGGGCACACCAGTTTTATTTTAGCATGGCATTTTCTGGTCTTTCCTTTCTCCTCTGCCCCCGACTCCTTGGCGAGAGAGGCGCCTGGTTGATTGATCTGGACGACCTGTAATCTTCCTTGCTCTCCCTCAAACGCAGATGGTGCTGTCCTCCTTCAAACATGGCCTCTTCAGTGGGCAATGGCTGAAGCTGGTCAGTTACGTGCGCTGGGACGGCGTCTTTCGCTGCATCCCTATCTGTGGCATGGCTTTCGCCTGTCAGTCGTAAGTACTCCCCTCGTCTCTCCTTCCTCTGTGGACTTGGGATGGGGAAGCTAGCTGTACTCCGCCATGGAAAAGCCGGTTCTTCACCCCTTTTAATCCCTCTGCTTTCCGAGCACGTTTTTCAGTGCCGGCTGCTCCAACCAGTGCGCTCGAATGCCACTCCTGACTCAATTGTTGTGATCAGGATGTAAAGACTTATCAGGAGAAGGAGTCTTATAGTTGTTCTGGGGGCTGAAAGTTTTATTTGTGGTGAAAGAAAACAAACGGTGACCAGTGGCTTTGAAGCACAATCTTCCTGCAAGGTTCTGCACTCTGGTTCCTTCAGTTTCCGTGAATGTGTAGTACTTTTTGGATTGGAAGCAAAAAGTTATTTGCAACCACTTCTGGTGTGTATGTTATACCTCTAACTGGTATATAATGTTTTTTTTTCCTTCCTAATCTGACCGCGAAATCTCCCTCTGTCATCCATGTGCTTTTTGTTTTTTGGCTCACTTTGAAAAGCTGAGTTACACAGTTTTTCGTCAAGCCAGAAATCGCGTCCAAATCTGACTAAGCCAGAACTGTCATATGCCACGATTTTCTTAATCCCCTGTCTCTTTGTAGGCCTTCCAGGTCTATTAGTCTTTTCCTATCTAGAGCTGGAGACTAGTAACATTGACTAAAATAGTTTATTTTTTCCAGTTTACATTAGTAACAGTTTGTGTTTTTAAAGGAATGGCATGTTTCAAATGAGTAGTTCTTAGCTGAGGGAGGAACACTGGTCTCCCTAAGGGACTGATGCCAAGGGAATAAGTAGCTTTTAGTGAAGTCTGTCAGTACGTGGACTGAAGGCTTTTTAACATCACCTTTTTTTCTGTCCCTTCCCATACCTTTTTCATGCTGTACATTCAGTGGGGATGCTACCTTTGTCAAGATGGATAAAAGGATTGACCTGCTGGTTTTAAAGGAAATGATCGCTTGTGTCCTTTCATCCATGGTTTTGCTGTGGGATGCCAATCACTCAAATGGGTGAATTAAAAATGAATGTATGAAAACATATCAAGGGAGCATGTGCATGAATACATCTAGCCAGTAGAATCTCATGTGCATGTGCATCAAGGAACCCATCCAAAGGTACCTGTTCATAGTCTTCAAAAAAGAAAATGGCTTTGGAATAATAAACCCTCTTGCTTGTAAATCTGTGAAGAGGGTTGAGCTAGTACTGAAGAGCTGCATGCCAATGGTGTCTGAAATAAGGAAAGCAGATCTTAGGACGTTCTAGGGCAGGGGTGTCTTAATTCTTTCTAAAGGGCCACATGTTAGGTGCCTTGCAGGGTTTTCAGTAAAAGGGCGCAATACGGAAGTTATCTGAAGTCACGTCGGAACTGACTTGGAATGTAAAACGGATGATCTTAAAGTCGTTGAGGATTGGAGCTGGCTGAATCTCTTCCAGGGGAAGGCAGCGGGTGAAGGCGAGCTGGGGATTAAGGGATTGGAAGGGTGGAGATCACAGCGTGGCACTGGCTCTGTATGCCAATGGGAAGGGGCCAGTGGGACCAGTTTCATTACAGTTTGGGGAAAAAACTAATCTTTTCTGGAGACCTGCAGCAGTGATCCCTTTTGGTCCTGGAGGAGAGATTTTCGCAAAAAATCTAGAGAGCCATGGTGTCTTTTTTTCATTTTCCATTTTTTATTTGAATCAACTGACTGAACTGCCTTCGATTACCACTGTTCAGGCTTTCCCGATTCTGGTCCTTGTATCCCAGAATCTATTGGTTATCATTCCAGCAGGACTCTTGTTTCTTTGATTGAACCAATATTATGATTGATTACGCCTTCTTAATTGCTTTCTGATCCTCTACATTTTGATTTTTGAGTTTTTGCATACCTCATCAGCCTGCAGGGGTGTGGTTCTGCGGGACTCGGGATCGCTGATCTAGGGTTAGCTGGTTCGGCCTGAGCTCAAAATCATTTAAATGAAACTGTGAAAATGATGACATCTGATTAAACTTGTCTTCCAGTGGTTTTGTAATGAATTTAAAATACTAATTCAATTTTCTCAAAAATCCTTTAACACCCCTCTCTCACTTCTGTTGATTCTCTTACATATGGGGGGGATGGGTGGTGCACAGCTCCAGTCCCTGAGGGCCAGAAGGCTTCTAGTTTTCCTTCCTCCTGAGCCCTTAATTACCTAATTGAACTCATTCTTTCCTTGATTGGACACATTTAAGCTTTCCTGGGTCTTGAGAAATTGGAGAGTTAAAGACCTATAAAACCTGCAGGACAACATCCCTTGAGGACCAGAGTTGGCCCCCACTGCCTCACAGCCAGTCCAGGGAGGAAAGTGTCTGCCATTTCTGACTGATCTTTATTTTTGTCAGCATGCCTAGCCCTTAGTAGAAGCTTTTAAACGGGGGGGAAAAAGGAATTCATGCTCTCGCATCCTCGAATCGCCTCATAAGATATCCATTATTCTGTGTCTGCATGTGTTTATTGTTAAATCTTATCTGCTGTCATCATCATCATCGGCGCCCTTGCTTGTGAAAAATTGTCTCGGAGAGATGTCTTCCATTAATACAATAAAGGAGAAGAGGCATTATGCAATATGATTTATGCTGAGTGAGCCTAAATCCTGAACAGAAGCCATCGGAGAAGGTGGCACACTGGCACAGACTGTTAAACCTGGGTTTTGCAGTCCCCTTTAAGGGACTGTCCCAGCTCTTTGGCCTGCACAGTGCAGATGACTTTTGCAAACTCATATTAGAATTGGGTTACCTAGTCCAGGAATATGAAGAGAAAAACATTATCTTGTAGTGAGTAACGGCTTGCACCATAACTTAATGTTGTTTATTTTCCCATCTTGTCCCCAAGCAATCAAATAATCATTATGTAGGGCCTGATCCTAGCCGATTTTATTTAAAACTGTTTACACCATGGACAACTGGATACTGTTTCATAGAAACATGCTGAGATAAACAAGCTGCCAGGTGGCATCTTGTGTACCTTAGTTGCATGCTTTTTTTCATGCAAATCTTAAATGTAAAATTTCAGACAAAATGTACATCCCTTGCTCTTCTGAGCTGTACTGGATCAAAACCCCTCGTGCCTACTAGTGCAGGTTTCAGCAGTATCAAGTAGTGATGTCCTTTGCTGAACTGTGCTGCCTTAAACTGAACTGTTTGACTTGTTGGATGCGTTGGAGTCATAGCAAACAAAACCATAAGGGAAAACAAAGCTAAGAAACTAAGCTGGTCAATTAAGAAATTGTACTGGTTAAACACTGAGGCTCCAGACTGCTATAGAATTGATTGATATGGGAATCTGTGTTATTTGCTCAGTCTTTGCTTGCTGTTCTAGTGCTGAAGGAAGCAATGACCAAACATCTCCAAACAGAATTAACATTTAGAGACTGGAGAAAACAAGTATGCCCCCTTTTTTCAAACCTAATACTGCCAAGAAACTTTATAAGGTTCTAAAACTTGACTCGCACTCTGCTTTAATATATTGCAGCTGTAAATTCCACTTTTAATGTGCGTTGGCTAGCACTTTTATAGTGTGCTGTGATGACAGTGATTTTTGTCGCTTTTTGTTTCCAAAAGATAACTTGGACTATGTTGCTAAAAGGCTTTATTCTCTCTGTTCATTAGGAGTTTTATTATTTCTTTCAAATCTTTGTTTCCTTTTTTCCATTTCTTTTTTGGATCATACATTTAACCTGATGCTGTTTGATGCAGCCTTCAATGTCTGTCTGTTTGGATGGTTTTATTTGTATGCCCAGTAGCTGGTTTGGGCCGCTCTTTTCTTGAGATTCAACTTTTTGATGTTCTAACGAACCCATGTCATGGCTTGTTTAACACCTTGCTGAGACTGCAGTTCTCTTCCTTGCTTTCCAGGCAAGTCCTGCCCACCTACGACAGCCTGGATGAGCCCTCTGTGAAAAGAATGAGCACCATATTCACATCTTCTCTCAATGTGGTCACTACTTTCTACATCACGGTGAGTGTGTAAAGACATTCCTTACATCTGTGGCTTATCGAAACCACAGATTGGGTGATTTCCGTTGAGTTTCAAGCGTGGTATAAGCAGAAGTTCAAAGTACTAAGCACCACCAAATGCATGTGTATCCTGATACACGCTGCATGAAATAAACGCCTTTGGTATGCATGACAGAATGGAAGTCTTCTAGGATGTACATGCCATGCCACACCTTAAAAAAATGGTTTGTATGGCTTGCTGGAAAGATGGCATGTTGGGATTTTATTCATGCCGTGCCTCTTTGTGCTTGTATGATTCAATCCTGGAGCTTGACGTTGACGTTTTTTTCCCTGATTTTGGTTCATTGACATTCTCTGCTCAGGGGGTTGGGGACACTGCTGTTCAGAATTATTAGTCTAGTTGGCGCTCATGGAGCCTATCAGGGATTTGACTTATAATAATAAGCTTTAACATCTAGGCCACAGAGCCTCCCCATCAAACGCTAGGATGGTTAATTATAGGCTACAGGGACAATCATTTAAACTGCCTTCTGGGTTTAAAAAAAAATCAATTAGCCTTGTAGTTTCTAATGAACTTCTAATGTCTCTAGTCAGATCTAAAAATATGCTTACATGCATACACACAGAAAAATATACTTTTTGTTAAAATATACAGGAGAACTGTGGTCTCTCGTGTGTCTTTATATGGGTCATTTCTGTAATGAGATCATCCAAGGGTTTTTGCTGTTTAGGACAGACATTTCTGGAGCTGTCCGCAATTCCATAACACACATTGAATTTATCGTGTAGTGTATGATCCATACACCACGTTAAGTATATTTACTGAAGAACCGTGCATCAGGGTTGAGAGAACATAAGAGTTTTACTCTATTCAATCTACCTGAATAGCAGCCTTGGAAATCACATGGTTGTCATTCACTTCAGTCACAATAGGTATTCTGCATAGTTGGATATGTATTCACGGCATTTTCATCTGAAGGTTATTTCCTTGTGAAATTTCCTTTATTTCCTCACTGATTTTTTTTTTTACCATTGCAGAAGTACACGTGATTGATTAAATCTAATTGTGAAAATTAAATCCTGTTCTTTATCATGGTCATTCCATTGCCACTAAGTGAGTAGCAATGGAATTTGTCAACCCCCTTGGAGGTCCATATTCTTACTTATGGACAAGACAGTGGTTTAGTGGACTATCTTGATACCTATAGTTACATGTGGTCATCTCTTTGCTCACTACTGTGTATGTGGTAAGCACCAGGAAGGCATCGGTATGGCATCATAAGAGGCATCTGAGATATGTGCAGTCTCAAGTTCTGGGGTTTAAGCCCCAGCTGTTCTTCGAAATTTAGTTGGTTGCTGTTAATAAAAATCAGATTTCTGTAAAGAGCATTGGATTTAAGCTCAGCTTTGATGAGTGCTCATATGTTCATATGAGCTCCTCTCCCACGGCTGCAGCGTTTCCTCTTTTGTACGCGGCTATCCTTTCTTCCTTTATTAGCACTGTTGTAGGAGCTGGAGAACGAAGAGCTTTGTTGAACACTCAAGGTCTTCTACCTTGTGATGATCTCGGCACATTTTCCACAAAACATCAAGGATAGCTCTGCTTTTCTCTTGTTTTGCCTTTACAGCCCGAGCCAAGATATGAGGGATGACGAATGAATCCTCTCTAAAAAGTTCAGAGCACTGTATCTGGTGGAACTGTTTTAGCAGGGTTTTTTTTGTTTTAATTGCTGGTTAAGGGTAATGCAGTCGAGCAAAAGAAGGTTTTGACGAAGAAAAGGATGAACAGAATTGTAATGCATTTTTGACTTTGGGTTAGAGGTTTTCTTTTCATGGGAGTTCGCACCAGTTCTGTCTGAAGGTTGCCATTACTATTCTTTTTGATGGTAGATTTGCATTTTGGTGTACCTACATCATGTTAATTAGATGTACATGGCTTTAAGGACAGCTGAAAACGTTCTTGTTATATATTTAAATAACATAATATCTTTGTGTATGTATTGCAGGATCTGCAGTGAGCTAAACAAAAGATTTTGTGAACACTGGTCTTTTTCTTGTGACTGCAGATAGGGTGTATAATTGAGAAACGATCAAAATAAAAGCTAAGAATATGAGTCTCAGGCTGTTTAAAATCGAGCAGCATTAGGAACATGTAAATTGGAGATATCAATGGAACGTATCAGGGATGATATGACTTTCAGATCAGGGAATATATGACTTCAGTTCAGTCTTCATTTTGACCAGTTAGGTAGAATGTGAGTAACTTGTTGACATCTGATAGAGACAAACTTATAATGCTGTCATTATTGCCATTTGGCTACAAGCAATTTCATATGACAGCAGCATTCTGAAAAGATCACAGTGTGCCTAGCACTGTTCCAGTTTCTTTTACGACTCCTTTTAAAAATGCTACTGCAGGTAGCAAAGATGATGCACTGTGCCAAACCTCAGAACCAAAATGCCTGATTTTCTTTGGTTCTTTTGCATTTTTTCTCCCTTAGTATTATTGGATAGGAGTGTGTCCTTTAATTCAGAGCTTTAGTGCTATCATACTGCTATCAGCTTCATTGAAATGAATGATGTTGGGTGACTTGGCTCTGTCAGCTCCCTAGAAATGTGGAGATGAAAGGATAACAGCTAGGTTGTGTACAGCATGATGATTTAAATTGGTCCCCTATTTCTGTTATCTTACTAAAGCATAATGCTTCTGTTAATCCTGTATTGCAAACCGGAGAGCAGACAGGAACACTCTCTGTTTTTGCTTTTCTGCCAGAGGGGTAACATGAGGGCTAGGTTGTTTTAGAATGTTTCACAGTCTGAAGTGAAAGTACTGCATGTTGATTGTTGCTGTGTGTTTAATGTTGAAAGCATCCTGTTCTGTGATGATTTACAGCCTTGAGAGCAATAGAAGATCTGTAAGCATGCAATGCTGGTATATTCCTCAGGTTGGTTTCTTCGGCTATGTGAGCTTCACGGAAGACATTGAAGGAAATGTGCTGATGAACTTCCCCTCCAACCTGGTGACAGAGATGATCCGTGTGGGCTTCATGATGTCGGTGGCGGTAGGCTTTCCTATGATGATTCTGCCCTGCCGACAGGCCATCAACACCATGCTCTTTGAGCAGCAGGTAAGAGGAGTGGGCAACACGTCATGCGTACAGTGACAAAACCTGAACTTTCAATTCAGTGTGTGATACTAAATATAGTTAAGCATAGCTTCTTGGATTTGTCTTCTGTGACTGAATCTTTGTTTTTAAGAGAGGATTCCTAGTCGGAGAACAGTTTTTCTGGGACTTTAGTCACACATTGCGAGGTTTCGTCCCCTTTCCTGCCCAGAGAGCTCATCTGACAGAGCGAGGTTAGAAATGTAATGGCGAACCACACTCACCAGGGCTTCTCCCATTTCTCAGCAGAAAGATGGCACCTTTGCAGCAGGGGGGTACATGCCACCTCTCCGGTTTAAAGGCATCACGCTTTGCATCGTCTTTGGTACCATGCTGGGTGGGATCCTCATCCCCAACGGTGAGTCTTAAATATCGCAGTTATTACTTGCAAATATTTTTCAAAGGGCAACATTTTTTTCCTGGTTGTAGGAAGGTAAAAATGGAAACCCATGTGCTGTGCCCTAAAGCTGTTGCATTGCTTTTCATGAAATTAATCAAAATGGCAGGAATCCGTTTTCAGACTTTATAATTGATTTTCTAGGATACACCCAAGTCTTTCAACTTGCAGCCCCTAATTAGTGCTATCTCCACTGGCTCTGCATACAGGGGCCGGTCTTTTGGATCCTGTCATACACGTGCTCACTGCTCCTTTCAGTCTCTTTTGATGCTGCCTGCTTAGATCTTTTAGCAAATATATTTGGCCTATTTTAACTTTTTTGTTCCCAGAGACTTTAATGCTGCTTTATGGCGTTACCCTTTGGGAAGATACAGTTGTAATGGATGCTGTATTCAATAAATAATGTTCTCGCTATTGGAAAGTGATTTCCAGTTCCATTTGTTCATTTGCATTACAGTGAGCATCTTAGTTTTTAAATCCAAGTATGTTGGTGTGTTGAATTCACATCACACAAAGTAACATGTTGCATATACTGTACAAGTTGAAAGCATGCAGATGTTCTCCTTCACGTTATATTTGCTGTATTTGAGTTAAAGTGTGCTTTTAAAGTAATTTTGTTTGGTCTTGTGCCTTTTAAAAACCAAGCAAGTCTTTATTGATATGGAATACTCTGCCTGAGTGTGTTTGTGACCGTTAACTGCAAACCGCAATAAAGGTATGTGTTTCAGGCATCACTTTTTCATTCAGCATTGGGTTAAATTATTACTAACACAAGAGACGTCTGGGGCTTAATTAGGCTAATGGGGGGGAAAAGGATTAAGAGCAGCAGTTTATTTAATTAAGTGTATCTGTTCCTGGCAGCTATGTCCTGTGCCAGCGTTCATGTTCCACAGAAGTTCTGCTTCAGTCAGGCAATCCAGAGGATAAATTTAAATGATATCCCTTGTGATAAAAAGTAATGATTCAGCTGCTTACCCTGAATGAACTAAAGGAATTGCCTGGCTGTACATCTGCTTTTTCAGTTGAGACGATTCTGGGTCTAACTGGAGCCACCATGGGGAGTCTGATCTGTTTTGTCTGTCCTGCCCTCATCTACAAAAAGATCCAGAAGAACGGGCTGTCTGCTCAGGTATGGCACGCTTGGCATGAACCCTGCCACATGGACACGGGCCCTGATCCAGGTGTATATAGCGCCTTTGGCTACATATGTAAGCATCCTGAAGTGGAGAAAGGAGACTAAAATGTCTTCAGCATGCACCACTGCAAGGATCTTGGATATCCTTCGGGAGTCAGGAGTTACAATACATGTTACAAGCATCAACAATATATTTAAAGCCTCCAGCATAGTTGTCTGCTTGTTGGAACAACTTTGATTGTAAAGAAACCAATCTTATTTAGAATTCCTTACATTGTATTGGAATCTTCACATAGGTGACCATAACAACCCAAAGTAAACTATGCATGAGATACTAATATAAGTGTTATAGAAGCTAATTCATTATATTTTCCAATCAAATATACTAAAATATCCGATGCCTAGTTAGCTTATCAAGTATGCCTTGTCATAAACTTCCTCTGTTCTCCTGTACATGTCTATAACGATTAGAAGTTACTTATTTTGCTATAAAATCCAGAGATATAATGATTGTTACCTTGAAACACAGTAGGTAAAATTTCAGTCTAGCATTGATATTGAATTGTTTTTGCATAAAGAAGGAAAAACATTGAAAATAATAGAACAATGCAGAATGTCAAACTTTAGCACAAAAGTCTAAGTCAGCTAATACTTTGACATTTTATTACAGCAGTTCTATATAAATTTGATTCGATTACAAAAAAATCCAATAAACTAACTTTTGAACAGTTATTTAATACATATGCCATGTAAAAGAAGAAATAAACCAACTACCCAATAGAGGTATTTGCTTTTAATTTTTTCCCAAAAATGCATATTCTATACAGTAATATAGTCTTATGAGCTTTGTTAATGTTGGAGACCTGGTAGGGTCTTAATGTATAATAAATAATTGAGAAAGTTCATTTACAATTCTGGGCATTATTTAGTAATTGTTATTAGGTATAGACGTTGTCCAGCTGCTCTGAAGGATTCCTCTCTAGAGCGATCCCAGACAAATACAATGAATGAAGAGCTCAGTGCACAGGGTCTGAATTCTAAGAAATTCATCTTAGGAAGGCAAGCGCCAGGAATCTCAGAGCTCTTAAAGACAAGTGCAAAAAGAACAGCACAGAGAATCACACTTTCCCTGAATAACAATTGAGATTTTATTTGGGATACTCTTGTATGCAATCATAGTTGGACCTCCTTTGATTGTGTGATAAAAGGAGGTATAATGTTCTTTTTCAAAATAGTTGATATTGATCAGTCCAGTGTTTTGGAGGGTGGTATTAATTGATTAACGGGGAGCCATTATTATAACTTGCTGCATGTGTACAGTATGTATTTTCTTGCAATACCATTTGACACTGCAGGCTGCTAAAAGCAGGCAAAAACCAGAGTATTATGCCGCACTGCTATGATATTTCCGATATTATTATGATGATATTTGAATGTGAAAGCGACCAGTTGTCTCTCACCAGAAAAAAATAACCACTCAAGATTCTTTTTAAGGTTTGCTTAAAATAGTGAAATAATAATGGTAGACGTGATGGAACTAATAATAAAAATGCCGTGCCAGATGTAAAGCTTGGCTCTCAGATTTCCTCCGCCGGCTGTCTGTCTGGCTATCCCGCCTTGCGGGGAGAGAGCTTGCTCGAGTCCGGGAGGAGGCATCCTGTCAGTCAGCACCACAGCAGAAATAATGGAAAGAAGTTTGTTGTGAAAGGAAAGAGTGAGGGATATAATTACAGGAAAGGCCTTCGGTTCCCTGACACTGCTGTCTCTGGCAGCTTGCCTGCTCCTGCCTTGCCAAGGGCTTCCGTTATCTTGCCTGGGGGTCTCGGGTGCCGTGCCAGACTCCTTTCCTGTCCTTCTTCACCCAGAAAAGCTTCTTAAATTCATAATTTTTATTTATTTAAGTGCCTTCTGAAAGGGCTTCATTAGCGTTTATTATTACTTCTTGATAGGATCAGTGTCGGAAAGCAGATAGTTTTACTAGAATGGAGAGCACATGGTTTACAGCGTGCTGCAGTTCTGGCAGGGAGAGCCCATCCATAATGGCTGTTCAGCAGCAGCCAAAGGAAACTTTTAAAACGAGAGAGCATCGGAAAGACAGGAGAACTGCAAGTGGCATTGCAGATATTGGTGTTTAGAACTGTAGTAGACTAAAAATTAACACGTAGATTTATTTAAGTTGTTGCTTTTGCAACCA